CACGGGGGGTGGCTGGAGCCCCCGCGCTAGCTCTGCCCGTCTGCCCACTCCTCACACCTCTGCCGGGGATGGAGTCGTCCTGCTGAAAGGAGGGAGCGGTGTTCCTATTGATGATGCCCTGCAGATAAAGAGAAACCTGAATTTTTGCACAGGTGTGTGGCAGAGGGGAAGAATACCCGCAGAATGTGTATCTGCATCTCGTACCTGCCTTATAAACAGGCAGATCATAAACAAAATGCCTGGTATTAAACAACTGCTATCTTGGCTTTAAAAGTCAGCAGTTGGCTCTTGTTTCTTTTAGTTGGAAACCCTTTTTCTTTTCTCATCCCTGTGATATGCCCCAACCAGTCAAGAAGAGGCAGCAGTTGGAAACGTTTCCTGCTTTCCTTATTTAGGATATTTTATGTGGTTCAAATAAGGTGTCCTCTTTTGAATTGACAAAGGGAAAGCTGTATCAGTTCACGAACTGCTGCTATCTGAGCAAGGTAAGAGATAGAAAATCACCACCATTACAATCATTACTGTGAATCATGTGCAATCAGCCTGGTAACAGAAAGCAGATGAACATCCTGCAGAAACCTACAGGACAGGAGCTGGTGCTGAGCTGCGGGAGCCACGAGCCATGCAATGATTAAAACGCTTTTAATATTGGTTTTCAGTGTTGCTTTCACCTTTTTTTTTTTTTAATATTATATTTCATCAATGGCCCTTCGTACTGCTCCCGAGGCTGGTTCTACAGAGGTGCCAAGGATGTCTGGTCACACGTTTAAAAATATATATGTATATGCAGCCAGCCAGCCAGCCCTTGCCCTCCTTATCTCCCCTTCCCGGCTGTGTCCTGGAAAGAGCTGAGCCTTCCCGGCTGGGCTGGGCCCGGAGCTGCCGCGGCTCCGCAGGCTGGACGCGCTCTGCAGCTTACCCAGATTGGAGGGGAATTGCACCAAATCGCGCTCGTCCCTGGGCATTTAGTTTTATTGCAAGCATTAGTGGTTTGTGCTCGGCTTGTCTCCTCTGGCAACAGGAGAAGCTTGAAATGTCAAAGGGGAGGGTTAACAAACTCCGCTGGCATAAATTTCAATGAATGTATGTTTCTTAGGAAAACCGCTAAGTTAAAAAAAAAAAAAAAAATTTAAATCTTCCTGTCTGTGCTTTCTTTCGGCTGCTGTTCACAATGGATAATAATTCTTACATTAAGCCCCATCGGCCCTCCAGGGAAATCAAAATTGTAATATCAGTTTGCTTTTTATTGGCTCGGCTCTACGATCGCGGCGGCTGCGTCTTTGTTATGGTCTCCGGCGCGGTGACATTCAGCGGTGCCTCCCCGGTGCCCCCGCACCT